AACTTAAAAGCATTTACAATATCCGTTTTACTCAGCCATGTCCCTACCCCGGCCGAGAGGATGGCAGTGACGGCATTATCTATTGTAGCATATTGGAGGGAAAATTCTTCTGATGGAATTAGTGAATTGAGACTTGGGGTAGGTGATGCATGGGGAGCAGATAGGTCGAGAATTAACCTTTGTTTATTGGAAGATTTATTAGTGACCAGTCCTATGGGGTTAGTTCTCCAAACCGCGAAAGGCGGGGAGTCGAAAGGGCCTATAAAGAAACCTTGGTCAACTTCCTTCTGGAGAAGTAGGTCAATAGTGTCAGGAGCTGCTTGGGCTGTCTGTAAGTTTTTACATTCCAAGATTCCCATAGGCATGTGAATAATACCTGTGTGAAACCCCAAAGTAAATCCTGCCACCAAAAACTCAACGAGATGTCGAGATGGGTGACCACACAAAAGCTCTTCCAGTAGGGAGACATTAAGAGACGATAAGTACTGCTTAGGATATAATTTATTGGGGCACATTACTTTGGAGTGAACACTGAAACATTGGGAGAAGACATGCAGTAGTCTGCAGGCACTGTATCTGCAAGTGCCAGTGTTAAAATTATTACAGACTTGCGATTTTCCCAAAAACACTATATCACGGCCTAGTTTATCTTTCAGCACCCTGCCTGTTCTCCCAGTGGGCATCACATTAGTAGGAGAAAAAAAATTCACCTCTGGAGAGTTAGGGCACAGATTAGCCGTGTGGGAGTTGGATGAGCAAACTGCACAAGTTGGGGTTTTGAGGCCCGCAAAGTGGCGACAAAAAAGCTCTGTATCAAGCACACCCCAATCAGCTTGATAATTGAACTGAGATAGAGCGGCCAACGCCTTTGCGGAAAAGGCACGGTGGTAGTCGTAAAAAGACATACCACCGTACTTGTGCCCCAAATCCACCAGCTTGTGGAGATAAAGGTCCAATTCTTCTCTCCTATCCGGATATACAGAGCATATCACATCTCTGTATATCCCGAAAGCCAACACAAATTCGGGAATAGATAGTTTCCGATTCAACCTAGGGTCCCTAGATTTCAACACAACCGATACATCCCCATATGAATAGGTTTTATTTTCAAGGACATCTTGCGAGGCTATAAGAAGTGATACCAGATTGATGTCCTTCTCTTCCAAGATGTCCTTTTTAGTATTTGCAGGCACCATAGGTGCCGGATTAATAATATGTGGGTCTTTCAGACCGGTTGGTATATTACCCGGTAGAGGGTCCAGGCACACCGTCCAGGCACTCCAGGCACACAGCGACCGGAATCCCTAATGCAGAAGATGACTGTTGCTGGCTATCTGCATCCATCTTGTCGAGTTTATACGTAATACGACCCAAAGAGGTCAGGACAGAGGACAAAACAGTATGCAGATCAGAAGAATGGCTGCCACTTGACCTTTCCCCTGCCCCTGAGTTATCAGTCGGTGTATTCATCATATTCCTCTTCCTTAGTTCGGCAGTGATCCGAGG